GATGTGCCAAATGTGTGGTTGCTCGGCAGTGTCAATGGCCCGGGTTTCTCTTGTGGTCGACGGAATGCTGTCTTCAAGCTAGCCACAGCAGCAGCAGCAGCAGCAGCAGCAGCTGCAGCAGCAGCAGCAGCTGCAGCAGCAGCTGCAGCAGCAGCAGCAGCAGCTGCAGCAGCAGCAGCAGCAGCAGCTGCAGCAGCAGCAGCTGCAGCTGCAGCTGCAGCAGCTGCAGCAGCTGCAGCAGCAGCAGCAGCTGCAGCAGCTGCAGCAGCAGCAGCAGCAGCAGCAGCTGCTGCTGCTGCTGCTGCTGCTGCTTTTTACAGCTGCTGCTGCAGCTGCAGCTGCAGCTGCAGCTGCAGCTACAGCTGCAGCTGCTGCTGCTGCTGCTGCTGCTTTTTACAGCTGCTGCTGCTGCTGCTGCTGCTGCTGCTGCGGCTGCTGCTGCCTCTGCTGCTGCCTCTGCTGCTTCTGCTGCTGATGGTACGCTGCTGCTTCGGCTTCGCTTGTGTTGGTCCGCATTGGGGGCATTGATCGCCTTCGTAAATATGCTATCTGTACGGTTGCGAGGATACACACAGGGACAACGACGACGACGACCAGAATCCACAACAGAAATAGATTTCAATCGTTTCTACCTCTTCATCCCTATTCTCTTAAGCCCCGCTCACGGCTGGCAGGATGCTCGGCGAAGGGCAGAGGAGCGAGTTGGCACACTGCAGGTCAGCGGGCGCTACCATCGGCTGCCCAGGAGACGACATGCCATGTTAGGCCATCTTGCAGTTCCAGGTCGCCTTTGTTTTCCAGATTCGTCTGGCTGCTATGCCAGCTGGTGTTAGTGCAGTCGCCCTGCCACCGGGCCTCCGAACACTGGAGAGCCGTGTGTTGATTCATCCCTGTGTGTGCAGTTGCCCAGGAAGCTGTCCGATGATTACAGCCTGACAGACACGGCTGCTTGGCTTTTCATGTTCAGTTCGCAACAGGTAGTGGCAAGCATATAGGAGATGCTTGGATGCCAGTCTTCCTCGCGGGCCGAGATTCGCATAGACTCGACTTCGTTCGTGTCTAGCGTTCTGTAGAGAAGTACCGAGTGCCCAGATCGACACCGATCAGCGGAGGGTGTTTCTCTCTCCTCTAATTCGAGGGTTACTTTCGGTTTTTGTCAGTGGCATTTCTCAGACAGGTCTTGGGAACTGGCTTCGGTGGCTCCGTTTTCTTGGCCACCAGCCGGCGCCCGGACCGGCAGGGTCGGACCAGCCGCTTCGTGCCTTGGATTTGCTTTGAAGAGTGTTGTGGGAGTGCATAGGGTTTTTGAACGTAGCATCGTTTTGGTTTTGACGGGGTTAAGGCGAAGTCAAAAGTGATTCGAGGCTTGAGGCCTTCAACTGCGCATATTTGCATGTACTGCAGTCTGCTCAACTCGTTTCCTGTGGCGCAAGGTTCAGCGACCTCCAGTTAGGGTCTGAGCAGCCAAAGCCTCTCTAAGAAAGTCTTACAATCCAAGACTTGGGAGTGGGGGCCATGAAGACTTTCTGTAGCAGTCCCTGCCTCGTCAGGCTGTGAAGAGTATCAAGTTACACCACAAGGCCAGCCGATTTCTGAGGTAACTCAATCCATGCTGCAAAAAGGCATCAATTGGAATGTGCTTGCTGGTTGTCATAGTCACATGTCGACTCACGGGAGCAAGCCGAAATGCCGGCTGCTTTCTACTCATGTTGGGTTGAGCAGCACTTCATTGATGAAGCGTGCACGCTGGCGTGGATGAAGTACAGGCCTCCAGGAGAACACTGGCAGCCGAAGTGGAGGTTTTTCTATCAGCATCTTGTCTGCTGCTTTCGTTCTGATGTAAAGGATGCTGCTCAGATTTCTGCATCTATCGAGATTTCCGAAAGCCCTGCTCATGCCTTGCGTTGTGCCTGCCGCCGCTTTCTTAAGTCTGATCGACAAAGTTCCTTCTGATGGCGAAGGTCGACCATCCTCATGTTTGCAGATTGCTCGACGTCTACGAGAGTGAGAAAAGCTTGGACCTGGTCATGGAATGCTTGGAAGGTGGCGAGCTTTACCAGCGGGTGAACGCCGGGAAGTTCGCCGAGCCTGGACGAGCACAGCGCTTGTGTGTGCGTTCGTGCTTGTGTCCGACCCGGGATTTTTTCATGGGTGTCTAGTTCAGCTATGTTGCTGCTCCTGAGGAAAAGGATGCAGCAGATGCAGCATACCAGATGCTGCTCGCCATACGATACCTGCACAACCTTGGTGATTTGTCTGCAATTTGGGCACGAGTCGTTAGTAGACAGAGTCAATAAGAGATGTCAGGCCGAGTGACAGTGAGGAGTCAGAGACTGTAGCCTCCTCTGATATTGTCAGCATATGGCAGCCCACCCGGACCTTGTATCTGCACGGTGGCTTTCTTCTGCTTTGCAACTTTGCAAACTGAGGCATTGTCCACCGAGACATCAAGCTTGTGTCTCGGCCTCTCGTGATGTTGCGACGATCTGAAAGATCTCGATTTAATGGTGCCTTTAGCTGTACGGACTTGTTCAAATCTTGGAGCACCATCAGGAAAACTTCCTGTACACCGAGTGCCACAGCTGCAAGAACTCAGCTTCGCCTAAGCTTTCGAGCAGAAAGACTTGCGCGCAGTTAGATCGTTGTGATGGCGATCTTTTGGCGGCGTCGAAGCGGCCCCTGAGTGAGTTACTGCAGGAAGGAAAGAGACATTCCACATGTCACACCAGATGTAGATACAGGTAGATGGGGCTGGACATCTCAATACGCTCAGGGTCGGCAGCACCCATCTCAAGCTGATCGACTTCGGCTTCAGCAGCATGATTGCACATCAAGCGTCCTGACAAAGCTGGATCAGCCGGGAGCTGCCGGAGGCCTTGAGTGTTTTTTTTTTTGCAGGTGTATCAATGTATCTGCCAAGAGCACGGCCGTTTCAGCGTGCATGGACTCGAGTCGACTTTGTTCAAGGATCTGCAACTCTCCCTGCAGCCGAGGCAAGGCCTGGGATCCTGAGCAGAAGAAGATGAAGCTCAGCTGCGGGCTTCTTACTTCGAGGGAGCAGTAGAAGAATCGCATGCTAGGAGTGCAGAAGCTTGGGTACAGCCTTTTGAACTCAAAGCAGCAGGTACCAAGCAGCAGAACGCGTGTGCTAAGGTGGGACCATCTGTTACGTTGCGCCCGAGGCCGGCCAGTCCTGACCCCCGCACCCTTAGTGTAAAGCTCTGCGGGGACCCTAAACCCTGCCCCCCCCTACTGTATGAGGTCATCTTGCAGAGCTACACGAACATGTGTGACATGTGGAGTCTCGGAGTGGTGGTGTTCCTGCTGCTTGTGGGCTACATGCCCTTTCCTGTGCTTCCGGACATCGACGCTGAGCTCGGTTTTAATGCGCTCTGCCACCGCATTGCCACTTGTTGGTTCAGGGTCCAGGGTTGCGGGGTTCACGCAAGGGCGAAAGTATATAGAACGGTCTATCCTCATCATCATCACAGCACTACGACAACAAACAACAACACCACTGCTGCGACTACTACTACTACTACTACTACTACTACTACTTGTGAGTGCACATACATGTCAGTGCGGCATGTGCACCTGTCTCTGCAGAGCTGCTGCTTGTAGTGACTTGCATGTTTGTTTTAATTCGTTAGAACGCCAAT